ATTCTATTCTATATTCTATATTCTATATTCTATATTCTATATTCTATATTCTATTCTATTCTATTCTATTCTATTCTATTCTATTCTATTCTATTCCTTAAAGTTGCCAAGGTTGGGCCCCTCTGCTTTAGATTATTCCCTTGTATTAACCCTTCTTCACTCTTCTGCACATACATAATTTGTTCAGTTTTGGGGGGAGCGGAAGAGAACTTTGCTCCTTCCAACTGAAAATCTCTCTCTCTCTCTCTCTCTCACACACACACACACACACACCTGAAAATCAGCCTCAACCCCTCTGCAAATTGCTGGAGAAGGGGAAAACAGACTTTTGAAAGGATTTTGTGGTTGGTAAACTCCTGCAGGTATAAAGTCCTTTAAGTCATGGAAATTTTTTCAAACCGGAGCCTTAACTCTAAAAGGGTTGACTTCAGGCACAAGGATTTTAAGCCAACAATCATCAAAAAAAAAAGAAAAAGAAAAAAAAACAAGAATCTCTGCAGAGCATTTTTTGAGAGTGACCGGTTTTTAACTTAAAAACAAAAGAGGGTCGTGGAAGAAAACGTCACAACACGAGTTTTTTTCTTTAGATCCTGCCCAATCCCTCGGGTGGATGCACCATTTTATTTAGTCCTCAGCTTACGGCCACATCTGGGGACAGAATTCCCACCGCTAAGCAAAGCGATATGGGGATCACACGAATCCAGGAACCTACAACCAGTTGTAAATAACAAATGCTGGCTACTAAGCACCCGAATTTTGATTGTGTAACTCATGGGGATGTTGTAATATTTGTAAACATGAGGGCTGATTGGGAGCAACTTCTCTCTCTTTTTTTTTTTAAGTGCAGTTGTAATTCTGAACAGTCGCTGAACAGGTGATCCTCAACCTACGACCTAAAATTTAGCCGTTAGCAATTCCCATTGCTAAGCAAGCTAGGCGACTTTTGCCCCCCTTTTATGACCTTTATGACCATGGTCGTTGAGTTAGTAATGTGGTTGTTAAGTGAATGAGGCTTCCCCCCCCTCCACCATTGGTCAGACGGTCGCAAAAGGGGATCCCCGGGACACGGCGGGTGTCGTAAGTACGGTACATGCCAGTGGCCAAGCATCCAAATTTTGATCACGTGACCATAAGGGGGAGGCAATGCTGGGTCATAAGTGAGAAAAACGGTCCCACATCACTTTTTTCAGCACCGTTGAACGTCATTAAACAAATGCTTGTAAGCTGAGAACTATCTGTATGTTCGCCATCTGGCTTCTGTTAAGTTAGGAAGTTTGTCAGGCCAACTTTTTTTTTTTAATCACTTTTGCAGTCTAGAACTGATTGGCCTGGCTAGTCTAGGGAAGAGAAGGACCAGGGGAGACAGGAGAGCAGCCTTCCAATATTTGAGGGGCTGCCACAGAGAGGAGGAAGGGGTCAAGCTATTTTCCAAAGCCCCTGAAGGCCAAGCAAGGAATAATGGATGGAAACTGAACAAGGAGAGATTCAACTTAGAAATGTTGAGATGTTGAGAGTCTAGAAAAAGTACAGAGAAGAGCAACCAGGATAATAAGGGGATTGGAGGCTAAAACATACGATGAACGGTTGCAGGAACTGGGCTTGGCTAGACTAGGGAAGAGAAGGACCAGGGGAGACAGGAGAGCAGCCTTCCAATATTTGAGGGGCTGCCACAGAGAGGAGGAAGGGGGTCAAGCTGTTTTCCAAAGCCCCTGAAGGCCAGACAAGGAATAATGGATGGAAACTGAACAAGGAGAGATTCAACCTAGAAATAAGGTGAAATTTTCTGACAGGGAGAACAATCAACCGATGGAACAGAGGTTGCCTTTGGAAGTTGTGGGAGCTTCATCCCTGGAGGCTTTCAAGAAGAGACTGGACTGCCCTCTGTCAGGAATGGTGTAGGGTCTCCTGTTTGGGCGGGGGGTTGGACTAGATGACCTACAAGGTCCCTTCCGATCAGTGGTGGAATTCAAATTTTTTAGTACCGGTTCTGTGGGTGTGGCTTGGTGGACATGACTTGGTGGGCGTGGCAGGGGAAGGATACTTCGCAATTCCCATTCCCTCCCCACCCCATTAACCTGCTTTCCAGCTCCGTTCTCCTGGGCAGGGCAACCAAAGAAGAACCAGCCGATCAGCTGGGACTCAGTGGGAGGCAGAGAAGAGATGGGGTTGGCAGGGCCAGTCAGAGGTGGGATTGGCCAGTTCTCTGAACGACTCAAAATTTCCGCTACCCGGTCAGAACCATCTGAAGACTACCTTTGCTTCCAACTATTGTTAATATGATAAGTCCAATACTTGCTTAATCAGGCTGCAAAATGGGATTTGATTTTAGCTTGAAAAGTTGAGTGTGTTTGTTTACACCTGGACAAGGAAGAATCGTGAAAAATCCATCTGGGTGGGTTTGGGTATTTTAAATGATGTCTGAATTTTTTTTCCCCCTCCACAAACAGGGTGAATTGCCTTTGAATGCCATCCAAGTACAATTTGAGGAAAACCAGAAGACTGCATTTTTAATAGAAGGTAGGTCCCTTACTTACGTGTAAACTTTGGGGCTTGTTTGTGTGTGTGTGTGTGTGTGTGTGTGTGTTATCAAGAAGAAAAGACTACAGGACATTTGGGACCACACTTTCCATGGCTAACCAAGGAGATGGTTAAAAATAAGGCACAGTTTTACTACCCTTTTTTTCGCCATGGTTGTTGCAATCACTAAGTGAATCACAGGGTCATTAAAGCAAATCCCTTATTGACTTTTCTTGTCGGAAGCCAGCTGGGAAGGCCGCCAAACACAGCAAACAGGTGTTGTCTTTTAACAGTGGTTGTATACATACATATAAGTGGCAGGCAAATAGCTGACAAGCAATCAATCTTCTTTGCATGGAGAACTATAATGGAGATAGAACACGAGGAGAGACACACAGAGAGAGAGAGAGACAGAGAGAGACAGAGAGAGAGAGAGACAGAGAGAGACAGAGAGAGAGAGAGAGAGAGAGAGAGAGAGAAGCCCTCTCATGGCCACCCCTATATACACAGCTTCTTAAAGCGGCAGTATCCAGCTGATTCATTCCCCAGTTCATCATCTTGGCTTACACCCCTACAGCAGCTGGTCAGCTCTTAAATCTTCATTACCTTAACATGTCCTGTCACAGAGAATCCAGCCACGGACATCTCCTCCCTTAAAAAGAGACGAGGGGTGGGGAAGATTCTCTGAAGGATCTCTTCCTGTTCAAAGATCAGGATCAAAAACAAACAAACCTCCGTTTGGTTAGGAACTAGACATGATCTCTATTTATTTCTAGGTCGGCTAATCAACTCCATCCGGGTGATTTGCTCCAGCTACGAAGATTACCAAGAGTGGTTATATTGCCTTAAAACCGCTCAGTTCCGCCATGCAGATTCCTCCCTCTCTGGATCGGAGAGTTTCTCCGGGTTGAAGCCTTCTCACCTGACACAGGTAAGGCACTGTTTCCTGCCTGGTTTATTAACACAATTCTGCATTATGCGTACCAGGAGAACGGCTCTTTGTTTCCTTGCTTAAATCCTCTTCCTGGCATAACTCTGCCCAATTGTTCTGACCTAGGCTTCCCAAAATCACAAAGCAGACTCTTTCTCCCGACAAAACCCCCTTGTTATTAGGCTGGTGTGAATTCCTCTCATTCACATCCAGCAAAGTCCCTGCAAAAAAAGTCTTTCAAGGGTGAATTGCAGCCACAGATCTTATCAGGCTTGGAGAGTTGCCAGGCCGATAGCTTCCAAGCGCAACACTGTACCAGAAAATACTTGGCAAGGAGTCTCTGTGAGTCACGAACAAAACTTCACACTAATTAAACGAACGAATTGTCTCCTGCAAACACCCCTCCACTTTCACTCCTATTTATTCCCTTATGGGAGTGGCATGGATTGCTGGGCGTGGCTCGTTGGATGTGGCTTGTTGAGCGTGGCAGGGGAAGGCTCCTACAAAATCCCCATTACCTCTCCATCCCCCCCAACCTGCTTTCCAGCTCCATTCTCCTGTGCAGGGCAACCAAAGGAGACCCAGCCGATCAGCTGGGACTCGGGAGGCAGAGAAGAGATGGGGGCAGGGCCAGTCAGAGGTGGGATTTGCCGGTTCTCCCAACTATTCAAAATTTCTGCTACCAGTTCTCCAGAACTGGTCAGAACCTGCTGGATACCACTTCTGGTCATAACTCACTTTTTTCTATGCCATAGTAACTTTGGTCAGTAAAGGAATGGTTGTAAATCAAGGACCACTGTAATCTCTTCACGAACTACCCCCTTAACGTCTCACTCTTCTTCCCCATTCTTTGAAGGCCAGGATTGCATTTCTTTCGCCATGCCAATCGTTCAAGTGTATTCGATCAGCTTCTTTGCCCGCGGCCCAAATTCCATGCATTTTAATTTCTCGCTTGGTTTAGTTTTCAGGAAGCGGAAGAGGGTCACTCACCTCGGAGGGCAGAACGAATTCCTGGGCTTCTGCTGGGAAGGGGCCTACGTCCACCCATCACTCCCAAACTAGCACAGCCTCTCTGTCCGAGAGACCATCGGTCGACGCGTTGCCCCAGAATTGGTTAGCTGAAAACTCTGTGCCGCCACCAGTCTGCGTAAGTTGGAGGTTCAAAAATCGTTGGGTTTGTTTTTTGAATGTCCCAAAGGTGTTTTTTTTTTTTTTTCCCCAAGAGGCAACTGGACTTTCTGGTTTTTCTTCAGCTCTGACTGGGTGGCAAAGAACGGAAGGATTTTATGGGCTGAAGAAGCTTCTGGGAGAAACGAAAAGCCTTCAAAGAAAAACCAGACAGTCCAGTTGCCTCTTGGAAAAAGAAAAAAAGCACCTAAAAGCAAAGAAATTTTGGAATAAAATAAGGATCTGGTTGCAAGAAGTAATTGGTTCAAAAACAGAACTTAAGCCTGAAATGTTCTTACTAGGGATAATCAGAGGTGAATATAAGAAAGACATTGAATATATACGGTAATAATGCATATACTAACAGCAGCTAGAATAATGTATGCCCCAAATTGGAAATTAGAGAGTAGCCCCACAGATAATATGATTATAAAGTAAATTATGGATTGGGCAGAAATGAATAAACTTACAATGGAATCGCAGGAGAAAGAAAAAAAAAGAATATTATACGGTCTGGGAAAAATGGTATGTTTGGTTAGATAACAGGAATAAAAGATAATGCAAAATGTAAATGTAAATGGTGTGTGTGTGTGTGTGTGTGTGTGTGTGTGTGTGTGTATGTAAATGAAAATGGAAAAGTCGATGCCACAACTCACTGCAAAAACTATATATATGATTTGTTTTTAAAGCTGAAAAAACAATAAAAAATATTTAATATTTTAAAAAGCACCTTTGGGACAACCATTACCTGGAGGACTGAGAATCTCCATAAACTTTTGAACGAATGTTCCTTAGAAGACAATATTTGTAGCTTGGGGTTGAACTGTGCGGTCCTTTGTGCTCTCTTGAGTTCGGTGCTCTTCTTCCAGGCGTTTCATGACCACACTAGGTAACATCATCAGGGCCTCTGTCTCCCTTTTTTGCATTTATTTTAACAATAAATAGGAGCTTTATTATGGAGCTTTTGCAAAAGGGAATTCTGTGCTCACAGAAGACATTTCCCCCAGGAAGGCTGGGGTTTATATACAGTTTCAAATATACAGTCTCTGCCCCTTTCCAGGTTCACAATCTATCCAGCTACACATCACCTTATGCAACACCCCTATTATTGTAGTGTAACATCAGTTTCCTTAACCTGTTTACCCATTTCCATTTCCAGTAATCTCCATCATTAACATGTTACTGGACAGCGTGACCCGCCAAATATATGACCTTCATACAAAACAATAGAGAATTCTTACATAATATTCCAGTAAATTATCTTAGGTTAACACCGAAGTTAAAAATGGCGTTACCATTGCTTCATATTTCCACAGGTATAATTTTACATATCACACCATGTAATTTTTCTGCTCAGGGATGGTGTAGACATAAATGGTGTCTCCTCTTGTTGCAGTGCTCAGGAAAGCAAGGGGCAGGAATGCCGAAAGCCGAGCTGAAAAGAAAAGGGAGTTCTCGAAAGTCCAAAGGGAAGGGAGTCCCGCCACCTCAGCCCCCCCAGGGCCACCGGGAGGACTCCGAAAAGAAAAACCCCTTCCCGCTCATCTCGAAGCACCCCCATGGAGAAGGCGTCTCTGTTGTGTACAATGAGCCGTACTCAGCCCTGGCCCAACAGGAGCATCCTGACGTCCGCCCGCTGCACCTGGACTTAAACCATGTACGGGTTGAGGATAATCGGAGAATTTGGGGAGGGGGCAGAGCTCTGGGATTGTTCTGACCTAGGCTTCCCAAGATCATGAAGCAGACTCCTCGTCCTGATAAAACCTCTTTTATTTAGGTTAAAGTGAATTCCTCTCCAGCAAAGTCCCGGGCCAACAGTCTTTCATAAGATTTCACAGACCTTTATCAGGCTTGGAGAGTTGCCAGGCCGATATCTTCCAAACGCCATGCTGTAGCAGCAATTACTTGGCAAGAAGTCAGGAACAGATCTTCACTCTAATGAATGGAACTAATTGTCTCCTGCAAACTCCACTCCCCTTTCATTCCTCTTTATTCCCTGTGGGAGGAGCCATTCACCGTTCACCTGCGGCTTTACTCCCGAGTCGACCCTTGTTCCTTAGCTGTTCCCTTCCCCTGGCAGCTCTGTGCATGCACATATCGGGGACAGGCTCCAGCTGCTCTTCTTCCCTACTGATCTCTGACTTCGAAGGCAGCTGATAACTGTCAGACGGCCCTGGCCCTGTCTCTGCCTCCGATGCAGAGCCCTCGTCAGAGCCTTCCCCAGACTCCAGGACTGGCCCATGTTCCTCCACAACCTCCTCACTGTCCGAGTCTGCCGCAAGCTCTGCTGGCCACTAGTGGGCCACAACAGGGATCAAAGCCCTGCTTTGTGGGCTTGGGAGGACGAGGATCTGGAATGGCCCTGCAAACGTCCCTCTGCATCTGGATTTCTCATGCAATGAGCCTTTTTTTTTGTCTCCTCTGCAGCTGAAACAGTGGAACGTGCCACGGAGTCAGACCTGCCCAGCTCCCCAAACCTTGGAAAATATCTCTCTGTCGTCTTCCCCCATGTATGCGGATCCCTACACGCCCAATTCCCCCTCCTCGCACGGGGCCGCAGGCTCGTACTTCCTCGACGAGGTGAGTGGGGCCAAGTAAGCAGAGGGTACAAGGAGGATCTCAAAATGATTGTACAGGTAGTCTTCAACTTACAATAGTTTCTTCTCCTTCTTCCCCTCTCTCTCCCTCCTCTTCTTTCTCTTCCTCCACTTCCTCCTCCTCCTCCTTCTCCCCCTTTCTCTCCATCTTTCTCTTCCTCTTCTTGCTTCTCTTCTTCTTCCCTCTCTCCCTCCTCTTCTTTCTCCTCCTCCGCTTCCTTTCTCCTTTCTTCTTCTTCCTCTTCTCTCCCTCTTCCTCCTCTTTTCTCTTCCTCTTCTTTCTCCTCCTCTTTCTCCTCCTCTTCCTCCTCCTCCTTCTTCCCCCTCCATTTCTCCTCTTCTTTCTCCTCCTTTCTCCTCCTCTTCCCTCCTCCCTCCTTCTTCTTCTCCCACTCTCTCTCCCTCTTCTTCTTTCTCCTTCCTTCCTTCTTCCTCCCTCTTCCTTCTTCGTCTCCTTCGCAGCTTGGGAGGTGTCACGGGCCATCCACTGTGGAGCACCAGAATGGCTACCCGGCCATGCCAGTGTCGGTTCCCATCTGCCACCATCCTCTTGGCTGGAGGAGTTTTCAACCTTCCTGCGGAAACCCCTGGCGAGAACCCAGCCTTGCACAGAGAGGCAATGCCTCGGTCCCGGCCTTCCATTTTGCCACAGAACCTGCACCAGATGTCCATTACTTGACCACGGTAAGTGCTGTGCAACATTTCCTGAAGAGATTTGATCCTCCTTACCCACTTCTGGGTGGGGTAGGGGTGGAATCGGGAGACAAAACTGTCCTGTGGGTGTCATGCCCTTGTTGGAGTCTGATTCCGAGGGGGAGATTGAGCAACTGACAGGGAGTGGGAGTGTAGATCCGGTGGCTGTGGGGAAAATGGGGGAAGGGCACAGTCTGGCTGGGCATTCAGAGGAAGACCCAGGGCCATCCCCTCTTCATCCTAGGGCACGCATGGAGAAATGGAGAAGGGAGCAACATGGCTTATGGGAGAGAAAAGGGCCCTGATCCCTTTCATTAGTTGCAGCTGGGAGAACAGGATATAAGTGGGGCGTTTGCACACAGCACATTGCTGGAAGCAAAGCATGCATTATCTTTGTCAGGCTTATCTGGGTTTTGGCGTCCTCCCAACTGTGTGTGCCTTGTTATCTTTTGGAAGTTTGCAATTTATTATCCTGGTCTGTCGTGTTAATTACCTCAGCGTGGTTTGTGTTGGTTTTTTTTTTATTTCTACTTTATCTGTACTTTGGGTTCAGATTGCACTTCTTCCCTTTGTAGACTGTTTTTGGAGGAGTTTGATCTCCTGCCGAGGATAACTGGACGTTAGGGGACAAGTTGGAGGCATTAAAGGGAATTTATCTACTTTTGTGACTTTGTTGTTTTTGTGCCACGCCCCTGGTCATCACAGTGGGCTTCACAGCTCTCAACTCCTTTTTTTTTTTGTCTTTCCTCACCTGCAAACAGAGCACCTCGTCCGGAGATGGCCTTCGGATGCGTTCCTTGCCGACTTCAGGTGAGTGCTTGGGAAACCTTGATTCTTGGCTTTGAATGAGTCTTCTGGATTAGAACTCACAGTCACGTAGGAGAAGAACAGCCAAATATATGGACTATCTCTTATTAACTGGGAAAGCTTAAGCCTCCAGGCTTACTTATACCTATTTCCTTGCAAGCGACTGACAAAATCAAGTAAATAAAGAAGACTGGACAATTCAGAGGGGATCCAAACGAAAGCAACTATCAGGTTGCAATGATTGCACTCATTAAATCATGAGCAACGCAACTCCAGAAGGAGCGTTCAAGGAATGGTCCTTACCGGGGAAGGGATTGTGGCCTGGTTGGCTGCCCCAGGCTTCAAATCCTTAACTTACAGAATAACAGAGTTGGAAGGGACCTTGGAGGTCTTCTAGTCCAACCCACTTCTCAAGCAGGGAACCCTATGCCATTCCAGACAAATGACTGTCCAATCTCTCCATAAAAGCCTCCAGTGTTGGAGCATCCACAACTTTGCTTCCACTGATTAATTGTTCTCCCTGTCAGGAAATTCATCCTTAGTTCTAGGTTGCTTCTCTCCTTGATTAGTTTCCATCCATTGCTTCTTCTCCTGCCTTCTTGTTCTGACCCAAACCTTGTTCCAAGGAAACAAATACGAAACAGAGGTAACAGCAAAACCTTTTCATGATTCTTTACAAATTCAGTTCCTTCCTGGTTAAAAGGCTGTTTCAAAAGCATCTTTGCTTCCTGCAAAGAACTCCGGTTTCTCAGCTGGCTTTTATCTCTTAAGGGAGGGGCCATTACCTTGCAGCCTTACTCCTGAGTCGCCTGTGCTGCTGCAGCTGCTCTTTCCTTCAAGCAGCCCTGCACACATGTGCACTGGGCCCAGGCTCCTCGGGGACCTCTTCATCGCTGCTGCCAGCCTCCACAATCTCCGAAGGCAGCACTCCACTCCCTGATGGTCCTGGCCCCATCCCTGCATCACATGCAGGCCCTCGCTCTCCAAGACCTCAGCCGTCCGCACCTGCTGTTGGTGAACCACAACACTTCTGGTGCTTTGGAGAATAGCTTGACTCCCTCTTCTTTGGAGCAGCCCCTGAGATATTGGGACACTGCTATCATGTCACCCCTGGTCCTTCTTTTCACTAGACTATAACAATTCCTGTAATTATTCTTCGTATGTTTTGTCTTCTAGCCCACTAATCCTCTTGGTTGCTCTTCTCTGCCTTGATCTCTTCTAGACGAAAACCTTCAGGCTTACAACCAGCCTGAAACAGGAGGGGAATCGCTCGACTCGACAACATATCACGACTACGCTGAGCTGCAAAGCTTCCACGAGGACTATAGTTACGACAACATCTGGGAGACAGAGGCGAAGAAGCCGCTCCCCTCCGACCATGAGATCTACGATTGCTAAGGGAGGCGTCCATCCACTGAAGCAGGAAGAACAGAAGGGAGGAATGCCAAAATTGGATGGTGGACGTCTGGAGGCCAGGATTCTTCTGGCTCCGTTTGGACCCCTTTGCCCCATTCCTGTTCCTCTACTTTGGCTTGTGGTGCTATGAAAAAAAAAAAAAAACTTCTGAGAAAAGGATGTGGAATTCTTCCCATCCACTAATCCATTGGGTACCAACACAGCAGTGGACCCTGGTTAGATGGTTGTTATGAAGAAAGCTGTGTCTGTGGGGTTAGAACCAGTCCGGATTTTTGTGTGCCATTGATAGATCTTGCAATTCACCCCCAAACAGCAAAAAAAACCAAAAAAAAAACCCACACCCTATCTGCTAACCGTTACGCCAAGGAACAAATGCAACGCTGGTTTTTTTCAAAGTCGCCATTCAATCGGTTGAAGACCTGGGCTGTAAAAATAGATTTGACGCTCCTGCAGGATTAGGAATTTTGAGGTGGCTTGTAGCAACAAACCAACCCCACTCCCCAAAGCAAACAAGTATAAGACATATTTCCCTGGCTGTAAAAACAACAACAACAACAAAAAAGCACAGCTGTTATGAAGGTTTGCAAAGAGACAGCATTGCTGGCAATTCTGACCCCGGGATAAAATGAGGGTATCCTTAGTCAAGTATATAATAAACGGCTCGATCAATACACAGAGTGTGATTGCGTGCACATAAATGTGCACAGGAAGGACGGCCAGTTTTTACGCCCAGTACACTGTTTCAAAGGAACTTATTTTTTCCCAGCTAATCCTCTGCCTTTTGGTGTATGTCATAAAGAAGGACCTTTTTTTTGCACTCCCTCAGATGTAGAAATATTTTGCTTTGTGAAAGCTGGCTAGGGCTACTTCCTGTGTGCAACTGATATTCCCAGGGCCTAACACAACCTTGTTGCTTGCTCTTGGGGACAGTTGTGTTCTCCTCGGTTGATAGTTATCCTTTTTTTTTGAAACACGCTGCTTTGTTGATTACCATTTAAATAATAATAATAATAATAATAAAGCTGCTTGCAAACTATTTGGGGCAGCAGTAGAATGCTTCCTGTTGGGCACATGGGCTAGAAGAGAAGACTGTAAGAAGAACAGAGGAGAAGTGAAGAACTGGTAGATCGTTTCAAGAATCGGGAATGTTGCAAAGGGAAGATTCCCTAAGACCCACATTATGTTGTAT